CTGTTTTTAGGCAGAACTGATGGAATTTAAACTGTTTTTAGGCAGAACTGATGGAATTTAAACTGTTTTTAGGCAGAACTGATGGAATTTAAACTGTTTTTAGGCAGAACTGATGGAATTTAAACTGTTTTTAGGCAGAACTGATGGAATTTAAACTGTTTTTAGGCAGAACTGATGGAATTTAAACTGTTTTTAGGCAGAACTGATGGAATTTAAACTGTTTTTAGGCAGAACTGATGGAATTTAAACTGTTTTTAGGCAGAACTGATGGAATTTAAACTGTTTTTAGGCAGAACTGATGGAATTTAAACTGTTTTTAGGCAGAACTGATGGAATTTAAACTGTTTTTAGGCAGAACTGATGGAATTTAAACTGTTTTTAGGCAGAACTGATGGAATTTAAACTGTTTTTAGGCAGAACTGATGGAATTTAAACTGTTTTTAGGCAGAACTGATGGAATTTAAACTGTTTTTAGGCAGAACTGATGGAATTTAAACTGTTTTTAGGCAGAACTGATGGAATTTAAACTGTTTTTAGGCAGAACTGATGGAATTTAAACTGTTTTTAGGCAGAACTGATGGAATTTAAACTGTTTTTAGGCAGAACTGATGGAATTTAAACTGTTTTTAGGCAGAACTGATGGAATTTAAACTGTTTTTAGGCAGAACTGATGGAATTTAAACTGTTTTTAGGCAGAACTGATGGAATTTAAACTGTTTTTAGGCAGAACTGATGGAATTTAAACTGTTTTTAGGCAGAACTGATGGAATTTAAACTGTTTTTAGGCAGAACTGATGGAATTTAAACTGTTTTTAGGCAGAACTGATGGAATTTAAACTGTTTTTAGGCAGAACTGATGGAATTTAAACTGTTTTTAGGCAGAACTGATGGAATTTAAACTGTTTTTAGGCAGAACTGATGGAATTTAAACTGTTTTTAGGCAGAACTGATGGAATTTAAACTGTTTTTAGGCAGAACTGATGGAATTTAAACTGTTTTTAGGCAGAACTGATGGAATTTAAACTGTTTTTAGGCAGAACTGATGGAATTTAAACTGTTTTTAGGCAGAACTGATGGAATTTAAACTGTTTTTAGGCAGAACTGATGGAATTTAAACTGTTTTTAGGCAGAACTGATGGAATTTAAACTGTTTTTAGGCAGAACTGATGGAATTTAAACTGTTTTTAGGCAGAACTGATGGAATTTAAACTGTTTTTAGGCAGAACTGATGGAATTTAAACTGTTTTTAGGCAGAACTGATGGAATTTAAACTGTTTTTAGGCAGAACTGATGGAATTTAAACTGTTTTTAGGCAGAACTGATGGAATTTAAACTGTTTTTAGGCAGAACTGATGGAATTTAAACTGTTTTTAGGCAGAACTGATGGAATTTAAACTGTTTTTAGGCAGAACTGATGGAATTTAAACTGTTTTTAGGCAGAACTGATGGAATTTAAACTGTTTTTAGGCAGAACTGATGGAATTTAAACTGTTTTTAGGCAGAACTGATGGAATTTAAACTGTTTTTAGGCAGAACTGATGGAATTTAAACTGTTTTTAGGCAGAACTGATGGAATTTAAACTGTTTTTAGGCAGAACTGATGGAATTTAAACTGTTTTTAGGCAGAACTGATGGAATTTAAACTGTTTTTAGGCAGAACTGATGGAATTTAAACTGTTTTTAGGCAGAACTGATGGAATTTAAACTGTTTTTAGGCAGAACTGATGGAATTTAAACTGTTTTTAGGCAGAACTGATGGAATTTAAACTGTTTTTAGGCAGAACTGATGGAATTTAAACTGTTTTTAGGCAGAACTGATGGAATTTAAACTGTTTTTAGGCAGAACTGATGGAATTTAAACTGTTTTTAGGCAGAACTGATGGAATTTAAACTGTTTTTAGGCAGAACTGATGGAATTTAAACTGTTTTTAGGCAGAACTGATGGAATTTAAACTGTTTTTAGGCAGAACTGATGGAATTTAAACTGTTTTTAGGCAAGTTGTCATTGCTGACTTTTTATCCTTGCTGACTTCCGCCATTGCTGACTTTTTATCCCAGAGGTTGCCATTGCTGACTTTTTATTCTTGTTGACTTCCGCCATTGCTGACTTTTTATCCCAGAGGTTGCCATGTGGGATTTGTTCCTTCTTCTGGACTTCCTCTTTCTATTATGTTTGGGCCTGTGAGGCCCAAATCAGCCTTGTTTTGCTCTGATGAGCCTTGGGCTGGACTCTTCTGGTTTTTTGGGCTTCCTTCTTTTCGCTGGGCTGGATGTGTCAATTTTTGGCCCAAACACCACGTTAATGACACTAAAAAGGACTTCAGACAAAAAAAAAAAAAAAAAAAAGGATACTCAAAATGATTACCGAATAAGTTATGAATTGATCACTATTGTCCATTATACATTATGTTCCAACATTGTAGCGATGTCACCTTATTTTTGTTCCTTCAATAAGAGTAAGGTCAAAATAGCCTGCATTAAATTTATGAACGACAATAAGTTACTGAAAAAGCAAATATATTTCAGTTTGTCACCACTGAAGGATAGATAAAAGTCGGTCATACGTTATCGAAGTCCTTTCCACGTTATGGTGGATCTCCACCGTATCTTAAATTAACCACCGGTCAAACACAACCAAAATAGGTTCAATGTTTCAATGGCATGCCACCGAATTTTCCCCTGGGGCGTGGTTCCAATCCGGGCTGCTCATTCATTCTCTGTCTGGCCTTATCCTGGGGCGTGGTTCCAATCCGGTCAAAAACACTTGGAGTGGGCAGATCCTGTTTTTCCAGGATTACCTCCAGCTCAGCCTCCACGTTATGGTGGATCTCCACCGTATCTTAAATTAACCACCGGTCAAACACAACCAAAATAGGTTCAATGTTTCAATGGCATGCCACCGAATTTTCCTATCACATTCAGTACTGGTATGTTGCACATAACCAACGACCACCATGCAATCTTAAACTTGAAAAATGCCAAAAAATAAACTCATACCTCATTCAAAACCTCCCTAACTTCAATCTCGCCCTTCATGAATAATTACTATATATTTTTTCACCAATATAAATGTATAAACCTTTGTTAAGGTTGTAGGAACATGATGGTTCGAGAAAAAAGTCTAATTAGAGTTGTAGGAATGCATGTGGGTGTAGTGAGAAAATTTAATTTTTATTTTAAATATTTTTTGTCCTTAACGGTAATTACGTACAAGAGTAAAATAGGTTATTCATGTTTAAAATTAGAATGGGGTGAAAAGAGCAAATAATGGGGTGCAAATAAAATCACAATTTCTATTTAAATTAAGATTTAAGAAATGTCATCACATTTTCTATTTATATGTAAAAAAGATTTAAGTGAAGTTGTCAAAAAATTACAAAAAAAAAAAATGCAATACATAAGTCAAATTACTTTGTAAGGGTCTTACAACTGATGAGATGCTTTAATTTTGCCATTTCTGCAACTGCAACCTCTCTCTCCTCCGATTCCTCTGCATCTTCTTCTGACTCCACTTGGGCCCATCTCGGCCCATTTAGTGAACCAGTATGAACATGATCCTAGCCCATCTCATACCGAAATTAATAATTTTCATAAATGAACGAGTCTAACTATTAAATGAGCCTACTCTAAACGGGCTATACAGCCGGCCGTTTGACACCTCTAATTAATACCTTTTTTTTTTTTTTTCTTGGTCGGTTTAGAACACGAGGCATATTGAACACGTTACAGTACATTGAGCAGAAGTAAAGGACATTTTTGCCATTTGCGGTTGATCAACACAAATGTGAGTTACTTTTGATCAATCTATCAGTAATAAATGCATAATATAAAGAACCGTTACCCATTTAACCTAGGCTTGCAGAGGTAACAACTTTGAGATTCTTCAAATGTCCATCATCAATAGTAAAAAAGCTTTGTCTAGCCCAAACTAAGGTTACATACAAATGTCGAAGTACAAAACATTACACCCACATTTGAGGTAATAAGAAAAAGTTTTCAGACACCCCTTTATTTAAAAGTAATTTTGTCTGTATACAAGAAACAAAAAAGTAATTTGGTAATTAAAAATTCGTCAAATTACATTTTGATCCCTATAATATCATTGATTTTCCACTTTGGTACTTGTTATTTCAATTTTGACAATTTTAGTATTCTAATTATGTTTTTTTAATGATAAGCGATAGATTATTACTATTGTGAAAAAACTAATACAAGAAGTGTGAACTCGTATCAAGGGCAAAGGAAATTCCTTGATCACGAATTACAATCCTCATACAGCACATCATAATTAAAATAAGGAGGTTCCTAAAACCAGTACATAGAAGCCCCGATATGCAAGGCAAAGTGTGCTATACGGTGAGCCACACCATTGGCAGTATGACGAATATGGGTAAAACCTTCCCCAGTGACATGTGTTAGCAAGCCCTTGGTATCCTCCACCATTAGTCCAATAACCGATCTATCTATGGAGTTACTTCAAAGTGCTGTAACAATCTGGAGAGCATCACTTTCAAAGACAACATTTCGAAAACCCCTTTCCATTGCCAATACTATACCTGTTTTACATAGCAATCAAAGTTTACAAGTCCAAAATTGTTATAATAATAATAAATAAATAAAAGATGAATTTCCCTAGTGTGGTCTATGTCAGTTGGTTGAACTCTTTCACCTCACTCATGTGGACAAAAGTTCGAAACTTCTAGACACCCAATGAATGTTTGTGTAAACTATCCTCAATCAATCACTTGTACTAAAAAAAAATTGATTTTCATATTACCACATCGAATTTCATCTATGAATTTGACCACATTTAATATTGTCAAAATGAAAATTACAAGGACCATAGTGAAATTTTATTAGACTACAAATCCAAAAATGTCATTTGTCCTTCTAAGTGAGGAAAGGACGATTAGAAAATGAAAAGAAAATGATGTAATGAACTTGTTCATATTCGGTCTCGCTTACTCATAAAGTCCCTACTTTTTTTCTTTTCTTTTATACTCGCTTTTCTCTTCTTCTTCCTTTCTGTTACCAGTAAAAGCCAAACCACTTTCTCTCTGACCGCCAAGATCATTCTTCTATCTAGGGCCTTCTCTCCGTATGGAGTCTATACGGAAGCAAGCCAGTAAGCTCAGGGAGCAAGTCGCAAAGCAGCAGCAGGTGCTTATTATTATTGATTGCTCTAATCGTATGCTTTAACTTTTCGCTTTTCGCTTAAGTGCTTCTCTTGTCTTTGAATGTTAAGTAAGCTTAGCAACTAACTTCAATTTTTTTTTTCTTTTTCAATTTTATGTTAACAAGACATTGGCTAAGTCAACTTTTTGTTGAACATTGAATTACCGCGGAGTTTTTGGTTTTGAACGATTCAAAGTTGGATTTTTTGTGTTTCCTACATGACAAATTTGTCAATTTTTTGTCTTTAGTGGAGGTTTTTGTGTTCTTTAGGGGTCATATTATGAAATTTCTTGGCTTTTTGGATTGTTGTGTCAAATTGTGTACATTGATACCGATTGATGTAGAACTAAGAACTGAAGTACAAAAGAGAAGTAGAATAAGAACAGAGATATGAAAGTAGGAAAGTTTATCACTTTATTCTCTGTTCAATATACAAATCTCGGAACTTGAATTACAGTAAGTCCTACATATCTAATCAATCCCAGTGTGATAAAATTCCCAACATTAATAAACTAATTACATCCCTGAATTCTTATGAACAAAACAAAACAAATAGGTAAATCCCTAATAGAAAGCAACTAAATTAAAAATAATTCCCATCTCCTGCTTGTGGCTATAAAATCTACACACTTTTATTTTTCAAATTCGGAGGCACTTACAAACCCATTGTTTATTGCATGACACCTATCTTATTTGTTCTGTGAAGAATTTTGAAATTTCTTACCAGATCTATGTTATAGGTGATCAGTGGTATGGTACTCTCCCTGGACTGTGTATACAAAGCATGGAAACTAACTAAATTTTTCATTACGAGAAACCCGGAGCACTTTTCTCTCTGTTTAGATGCTCTATAGAGATATTTATTGTGACTTTAAGTGAAATAGATGGGATATTGGGACATTAAGTTGGAATTGTTTCACAAATAAGTAGTGGTAGAACGGTAAACAAGTTGTGATAAATTGGAGGATGGGGAGGGTAGTTTATTGAGAGTGAGCAAGGAATCATGAATGACGTGATTGTGATAACATCTTTTGATTTCTGTCTGTGCAATGTCGCATTTTGCTCATTGTTATGGACTGGACTTGCATGTGGGAGGGGGTGCTAATGTGTCTGAAGCTGATATTTCCTATCTGCTTAAGCTTTGTGGACAAGTTTTCAGTCATATGTTAAGATTGTAGTGTTGAATATGTTGCAGGCTGTATTGAAACGGTTGGGAACCTTAGGTAATGAAGCTGTTATGATTGATGAAGCTGAACTTCTGTGCCACCAAAATCTTCAAGATTTATATAATTCGACGAGGGCAGCGAAGGTAAAGTTGTCATGCCGCTATGAAGTTGGCTTTTTCTTTGCTACTGGTTCATCGTATTTCATGTCACTAATGAATTATGGGATGCACCATCTGCTAATGCATCATCAGTGGTTTAATTTTTCCAAATTATAACGATAAGATATGTTACCCAGCATTTTCAGCGGAGTCTTGTTCGGGGAGTTGAGGCTTTTGTATCGATCAGCTCAAAACAAATGGAAATAGGTGACAATGCTTTCTCTAATTTACTGCATTTGGTTCATTCTACAAGTTTAGTAGTTAAAATTTCATCTTAATAATTTAGTGAGAAAGTTAGCCGAGGATTGCTGCAAATATGGAGCTGAAAATCAAAGCACTAGCACTCCTCTAGTGATAGCTTCTGATTACTTCGGTACTTCATATAATTCAATTGAAGAGGAGAGAGAGATATTTCTTAAGATCCTTGGTGAGCAGGTAATTTCTTCACTGTTTTTATGTTTTATTTCTTTATTTTATATTTATAAACATTGGACAAATCTCAGGATGTGGCCCTTGAAAATATGACGGAAAGCTTCATAATGTTTTCTTGAAACCAACATGCCAATATAATTTCAGTCTGTATTTGAAAATTATGTACCATTTTGGGAAGAAAATTTATCTGTGCCATTTTTGTATGGGTGACTCTGGTTAGCTATATAAGTGATGATTTTGTTTTGCTCCGTTGGAGATGCATTGGACCATTGGGCTACCCAACTGGAGGTAGCACTCTCACATCTCACAAACTCACTCAACCTTAGTGCAGGCAGTATTATTCCAGGCCTTTTGCACGATGACAAGAGGCTTTACCAATTGAATCTACTCATAGTTTTTATGAGGCTGAACTTACCAAAATTTAATGTATCATTTTCTAGTTTCTTCCATTTTTCCTTTCGTTTTGGTTTATAATCATGTTACAGGATTGAAATTTGTAGGTTGCTGAACCTTTACGGGCGCAAATAACAGGAGCTCCTTTGGAGGATGCTCGTCACTTGACTCATCGTTATGATAAACTGCGTCAGGAGGTGGAAGCCCAGGTATATCTTGATGTCACTTCCTGTATATAATGGTCTTGGAACATGCTTCTGCTTAGTGAATAAATAATTATCTTCTAATCAGGTGGCCGAAGTATTGAGGCGTCGGCTGAAATCCAGGGGCTCTGTATCTGCAGAGAGTTCTCTGAAGCTTCAGAATGCAGAAGCAAGATTGACAGAACTTAAATCTACAACAGTGGCACTTGGGCGAGAAGCAACTGCCGCAATGTTGTCAGTTGAGGAGCATCAGCAACAGATGACTTTCCATAAGCTTTGTACCATGGTATTGTTACTAATTTTTTGTGAGAACTGCACATGCTGTTACATCTTGGTTGCCACTTATGGATATAAATAGATCTATTCTCTATGTGAAAGGCTTATTAATGTAATAGCTGTTATGTTGATTCCTTGAAGATTTTATATGATTAATGTGCCTACAGTCTCAGTAGCCTAATTTGCTGCCTCCTCTGTACTGTACATTTTTAGATTTTTATTTTAGATTTTAGATTTTTTTGTTTTGTTTTAGTACAAGATATGCATTCACTGAATTCATAATTTTTGCCCAAATACCTGTAGAAAGTTTTTATTTATTTTTATAATCCATAAGTAATTACTATACGTTATTGTAGGTGTATAATTTTTAGTTCCCAAATAATAAGAAGATGAAGTTGAGTCCTGAAAAGTATCTGAAAATTAAAACATATTTCAAACATAATGGCTTTACTGAATGATACTTTTCATGCTCAATACATATGCATACGGAAACTAGCATTGTTGATAAACTAGTTTCATTGAATAATTTTTGCATCGTTGTTAGCAATTTTAACATCATTTCATTACAGCAGAATCATTGTGCACTACATATTCACCATGCAAATTCTTTTTCTTTAACAAATTGGTTTTTGAAGCCGTTATAGTTTTTCAAAACTCGAGAGTTAAAATCTAAAACCCAAGCCCTAAGCCTTAAGCCCTAAGCATCGTGTTTTGGTAAAAATTGATTCAACATTTGAACAGTATCAAGGGGTGGTCGAACGTCGTTGGCATCTGGCCATCTAATTTTTCATTAAGGAATGCACTCTATGTATTTATATGTATATATGTATTTATTCAGTCTGCTTCTCGATTGACACTCACTAATTGATTGGCACGTGCGACCATTTGGTCTGCACTTTATGATTTTCCTGAAGGTTTTTAGGAACAGGCAAGCTTGTTTAGGTGATTATCCAATGACAGAGCTGTGTAATCACTAATTTAGCGCATCTCATTATATTATTTTTATACAATTTGAATTTGTATATCTATCTTGTGGCAAAGGTTAGACTTTGGAAGGGAGTAATGAGTTCTTTTAGCCAGTCTATTCGTCTCTGTGACTTCTGCCCTTCTATATCATCTGTTGGAAATTTGTAGCCTTTGGTTAGAATTGGTTCATCTAAAACATGGGAGGGTATACTGGTGCTTTGGAAGTGCACTGGCTTTAATTAAGGACAAGCTTTTGGAGGGTCAGGACTATATGGGGAAGGCAATGTTTTGCAGGTGTTTGGATGGCCATATATTTTTAACAATTCTTAAAGGTTGAGCATGTTGTCGTAAATTATGGATGCACCGTCTTCTTAGTTATCCTTGTGAGGGACTCATTATCAGTTTCTCATGATCTTGAAAGACGTAGTAGCTGGTTAGAAGTGTTCCTCCAATCTTTTTGGAGGTCATGTTTCCAATATCGCCCGTTGATGGTAATCCTACACGATTGATTTTTTGCTCTTAGTATATTTTATGAGTGAATCCACATTTAATTAGTCGTTCTACTTCTGCTTCAAAAAATTTCCTGACTGTAGTTTTCATAAGATCATTAGGCCAATTATTCGTCCCAACTATGTCTCATTGCTTACCTTTTCTTCTCTATCCAAACTTTTTGTTGCCTATTCCATGTTTTGATCACCTAATTTTGTCAATCATTATGACATCTATTCCTTCTTTTCGTGTATCATAGGACCTCACAAGAAGAAGAGGATTGGTGATGCATCTGAGTGGGATGCTTTTTCCTTTCTTGATGGTGGCCTAAAATGGTGCTATTGTTCTTTAACCATACGGTCTTTTGAACAAATGGTATTGTTGGCATATCCGCTGTTGCAGCCCCTTTCAGTTAGTATATATGAGTGTTTCTTTTTGGCATAACAGCTTGGAACATAAGTTCTTTTTGGCAAGAACTAAGTTGCAATTACATAGGCAATCTAATAATAACCCCGGTGGAATAAATGAATAGTAATAATAATGAAATCCTAATGCCTTCATAATAAAAAGTTAACTAAAGAAGTCTAATTTCCAGATTTTCCCTGTGCCTGAACTCCATTCAGAGAGTTAAATCAACAGTACCAGGCTAAAATATTTCATGTCATTGTAGTTCCTTTGATATCTTAGGAATTGCGTCATTGTGTTGCTAAATGAGTTTTGGCTGTCATTAAACAAGTTCAAATTCACAACATCTTATCTCAGATTATGCACCTGTTTTAATCTACTATTTTGGTTTATATTTTGACGCACTTGAGTAAATAGGGAAAGTCTTCGTCACATATTAGTGGTTTTCTTTCTCCTTTCCTTTTAAACGTTTACTAGTTTAAACAACTTTTGCTGTTTCAGCCCCACAGAAGTTTCGACCACCTTGTAGTGCTGAAAGTAAGGAAATGTTACATGTAGTCTCTACAATAGCATCAATTCATATGTACAATTCTGAATAACTGTTATGCTGGAATCGTATGATTCCTTTGTGTTGAGCACAACGGAACTGGTGGATCAACTATCTAGTGATGGCCTGTTCAGCAATGCCTCTAGAAGTGTTAAAAAAACGCTTTCAGATAACAATAAATGCCTTTCATATTGTTTGGCTGGAATATTTTAAATTGTTTTCTGGGTTGTTAAAGCATTTGTTTAGTGCTTTCAGGAGAAGCACCTATCAAGAGCTTCCTCTAGAAACATTTCCAAGTGCATTTCTAGGAGCACTTGGAAGCTCGATGTACTTCTGATAAAAATGCTTAAAACAAAAGCCTTTTGAGCAGAAGTAATTCTATAGAAGCACTCCAAATAGGCCCCAAGGAAGCTAAGAAAAATACACAGGAGCATATGATTTCTGGTTTTTCCTATATACTTAAAAATTAATTTGCACTTGAGAATGGAGAGGTGAAAAAGGAAGGTGAGAGAGCACAAGAAAGCTATCTCTTGACAGCACCTATGGCTTATAAGAAGGAAAGGAGAAGGTTAAAGGTAGAATTGATAAGGTTTTTGCGTGCCACCATCACTTGCACTTGCACATTCATCGATGCCATTGCTGCTCACCATCAGTCTTTTTTGGGGCCACAATTGCACATTGTCAGAGCAATAGATGAAATAAATATCTTCTTTACTCTAGATACTTCACTTTAGCTGGAGAGGGCAAGTAGATTAAATGAGAAAAAAGGGCTTATCACACCACGGGAAAATAATTCATCTGTCCACTAGCAAAGTTTCTGATTCGAAAAGTGTTTTAATGCTGATATTGGAGAAATTTATTTCTCAAACTTGTGCAAAGCTCTCCTGTCAGAAATTCTTGCTAGATGTATCTAAATTTATAACTGTAATGCAATGGTGCCCCCAGTTCTTGGTGGATTTGTCGTAACTGTGATTGTTCTTTATACTAAATTTGGCTTGATACTGGCAACTTATTGTATTTTGCTCCTGATATTACACTTGTGTATTTGAACCTAGTAACTATATTCTGCAGGTCGATGCTGAGAGATCTTATCATCAACATGCTCTTGCTATTTTAGACAAGCTACATTCTGAGGTGTGCATTATGTAGCCTGGATCTGCACCTTTTTATCATTATGTTCTGTTTTCTTATCTCTTTTCTGTACATGGAAATTTATGACTCCTGCATTCTTTTAAATGGTTAGATGATTCTGGAAAAACTACCAAAAGAATTCTCATCACAATCTGAGAAAATGGATCCTGATACTAATTCAAATAGGTCTGATGATCATGGACAACTTTACCAGGATGACACTTTCTTCATTGCAAGAGTAAGGCCTTTGAAAAACTTGAAATTTGATTCCCCACATCCTAAAGAAACTGCTAATGTGCTAGTCATTTCTCACAGTTTGTGAATTTTTGTTGCCTAGAAGTATAGGCTGATAATTATTCATTTAGAGTGATTGTTGGGCATTAGCCTAAATTAAGTCAATTAGCTTAAATTAATGTCTGATTGTTTTATTAGCTTAAGTTGAGCCTCCTTGTCTAATTTGCTAAATCTTGTTTTTGGCCAATTCTGATTAGCTTAATTCAAGGCAAATCTTTAGAGCAGATTTTGAATCTTGTCGTACAAGTTTTTCTTCAAGATCGTAAAATGGTATCCATTTTATTTGCGACAAGCTGGAGTTACTGATTATTAGTCATTTTAGTTAATGGCATTTGGTCTGATTGTTTAATTTGCTTATCTTTCAGGCTTATTGTTAATGGCAATACAATGATTTTCCTCTTATCTTCCCAAATTTTGTTTTAAAATATTTCCTTATTGAATGATCTGACTTCTCTGAAAATATAAATTTGTTAGTTGATCTACCTTGTTTTTCTCTTGTAATTCTGAGTTTTCACCCCTCTTAATTTCCTTACTTCATTTTGTAGGCTATACACCCGTTTGATGCTCAAGCAGATGGAGAGTTGAATCTAGCAATTGATGATTATGTTGTGGTTCGTCAGGTACCACAACCTCCCTTAATTTAGTTGTTGCTTATGCATTGCTATCAGCATAAATGTGGACTCTTTTTTTTTTTTTTTTTTTTGGTGAACCACATCCTAATTGTTATGAAGTCCATCTCACTCAATGGAAATTAGTTCACCACATCCTAGTAAAAAGTAAAATTGGTCTACTTTGTAAAAACTCAGTCACCCACTCTGAAAATTGCCGGGATTAGTAGTGTGTGGAACAGAAAGAACTAAATGGAAAATTAGGTAGGATCATTTTCGTATCATTATTTGGATATGAAATAGGAGGAATGATGACTTATAGTCGGAGTGGCTTGTAGCTTAAGTGGTTAAGAGTATTTATGGATGGAGTGACATCTTCCATACTCCACTTTTATGTTTTATGTCTCAACTCAGCGAAGGAATATGGTGTAGTGGAGGCGTCATATAAAACATTTTTGTTTTTGTTTTTGTTTTTTTCCCTTCTATTTTACACATTTAAAACGAAAGGAATTATAATCCTTTATTCTCCATTATTTTCTAGTAGTGTTTTTAATTTTTTGCGTATTTTCATTATGGATGTTATAGGTGGGCCCTAATGGGTGGTCTGAAGGAGAATGTAATGGCAAGGCCGGATGGTTTCCATCTGCATATATAGAGAGGCAGGAGAAAGCCCCTTCGGCCAAATTAATGTAATTACAATTTCATTCCCACACCTCCTATATAAATATTTTTTCGGATATGAACCTACTATATAAACTTGGTATAAACTGTATATACCAATATTTTTAATGTATAATAATAGTTTTATTTGGATGAGGTACTTGGCTCTTTCAGCTAGCCTAGCATGGTGCTGTGCAGAAAAAACAAATGATATTTTTAGTGTAATAGTGATGTGATGTAATGTGCGGATGTATCATGGATTTTTATTTAAAACATAATATATATTTTTTACTATGGCCATTCAAACATGTTCTCAGGTTGTGTTATTTTGTTTGTTTCGGTTTTAATTATTATTATTATTTTGATGAAATGGGGGAGGGGAAAAATGAACTGTGTACCGATGTTGAGAATTGTTTTGACCAAGTACTTGGGGTTGATTCCTCACCCCCCAAAAAAATTTCATAAAAAAACCTTTTATATTTTTTTTAAAAAGAGTCCGATGATGATTTTATACAAGCTATAGTCTAAACTACTTGAAATGAAATTAATCTACAAAGTGGGGAACTCTAAATTCGGTAGAATAAGGTAGGTTCCCCTCTCATGCCACGTGTTCTCATGTATTTTCTATGTTTTTTATTTTTTATTTTTTTGGGTCAAAATGTTTTTTATGTTTTGGTCTTATGTTCATCTTGCATCTAGTACTGCCTAATTAGACAAACCTTGTGTTGTTTCAACTTTAGCTAATTCCCCGTATTTAGCCAGCTATGGGCACACTTCCTCGACCAACTATCTTAATGCACATCTGCTAGACCAACAATTGAATTCTTTATGGTTAAAGAATCTCTTTCTAGTTGCTCGGGCACAATTAAGAGATTCTCTAGAAGAAATACGAACTATGGGAGCCTTATTTTTTTGATTGTAGGCTGTAAACCACTCACTACAAGTTCCTGATAAAAATATAAAATAAATAAAATAAAATACCCCACAAGTATTGGGTTGTATTGTATTATCTACATGGTCGGCCCATCTCCCTCTGTTGATGCGCTATTTAAGGGGCTAATAAGGGCTGGGCAGGGTTTGGGTTGGTTCGGTTTTGGGCTCAACTCGAAATCGAACCGGAGACTTCGGTTTGGTTATTTTGAAAACCGAAACCAAACTATAATTGATGAAAACCGACCACTTTGGTTAACCGGACTTGGTGGTTTGGTTTGGTTCGGTTTCGATTTTTTGGCTTTCAGAGAGAGAGAGAGAGAGAGAGAGAGAGAGAGGAAATAAAAGCGATGGAGAGGAGAAGAAAAAAAAGAGAGGGAGAGATGGAGAAGAAGAAGAAGAAGAGGAGAAAAAGAAAGGAGAGAGAAGAAGAAGAATGAAAAAAGAAGTGAGAGACGGGGAGAGGGCGTGAAGACATATATAAGAAGAATGAGAAAATTAAAATAGAGAGGAATTGATGAAGACAAGACAAATGGAGAAATTGAGAGAAGAAAAAGGAAAGATTGAAACTATGTATTATATATATATATATATATATATATATATTTCTTAAATAATATTATATATAATATTTTTTAATATCTTCAGTTTGGTTTGGTTAAACCGTGAATTTGAATATTGCAAACCGTAAACCGAACTATATATTTCGGTTTGGTTTGAGTTCAAACCGATGACCCAAAAAAAATGAAAAAAAACCGAACCAAACCAAATCGATCGGTTTGGTTTGGGCGGGTTGGCTAGGTTTCGGGTCCAAATGCCCAGCCCTACTAATAACATATGCAAAATGAATAGCCAACGAAAATCGTATTTGCTAAAAGGCGGACTAAATAATAAAATTATGAGTGTCCTTTATCAATGAAATTCGGTTCATCCGATTTGAACAAAAAAATAATAATAAAATTATGGAACCGTAATACGTAAAATAAACTCACTCCACAATTCCTTTTTCATTTTACATATTCTGTCAAAAAGTAAAACCAGCATTAAAGCAGATTTAAGAATTGAATTTGTACAGAAGGGAAACATAATATTACATAACAAACAGGGGCCATAGGCACTACAATACTTGACTGGTTATTGTCATGAAATCATATTTTACAAAAATGGCATAAACAAGAATCATTTCCGGAGCGACCACCTTCTATTTATATAAATATCATATACACTTAATTTTGGGTAACAAAAGGCGAGAGGAATTACAAGATAAAGAAAGAAAAAGAAACACTAAATAAAAGACTCCAACAGGTGGAATTATTTTCCATCCGCATGCAGAGACGAGTCTGAACGCATCCGAGCAAAATGAGGGCAAGACGAGCATATTACACTCAGAATCTCATTGGTCATGAATAAGATGCTTGGCCATGTAGACAACAGATGGTACAGAACGCCTTCTAAATACCACTAATCTGCAGAAAGAATGAACGAATCGAATGGATAATGTACCTTTGCAGATTCTGAGTCCCTTTCACTGTTTGCATTACATATGCCTGACATGAGATGAGACCAATGTAGATGCAAATTCTGACTTGCCCTGCCTGCATAAAGCTTTTTTAATCAGAGCTGGAATCGTAGAAGTCACTTGGGCATGGTGTCATGACCTCAGATTCAAGCACCTGGACCACCCTATGCATGGAGGGTCGATCTTCGGAAGTTGAAGAAACACATTGAATGGCAACGGAGAGCAAAGCATCAAGGCTTTCAGCTTGCACCCCCTCGCACTGTGGATCAACAATGTCTCTTTGCCTATTCTCTGTGACCAGAAAATTTAACTGCAAAGGGCGTTATAAATAGATTAGAAGAGTTGACTCATGGTGGAATTCACAAAATCATATTAGGAGGACCATTAAGGAGGTAGTAGCTCCAAAACTTTCACATAAGATCTACTTGACTGCAACAATCAATCAAAACCCACAGCATTTTCATTTTCTTTCTCTCACCTATAATATTGAACAAGAGGAGTAATTGCTTTCCAATAGTTGATGTGGATATGCAGCCAAATTTAGAGTACACAATTTGCACAGAATGTCACCACTAGATCTAACTTCGTATCAAAAAGCAATATAACCACAAGAAAAAGATCACTTTCTACAGAAAACACAAGTAGAAAAGAGACATACCCAGCCAACAATGTTGAGGCCCTTCTCAATGAATGATGCATCTGTGGGTCGTTTTCCGCTCAACACTTCAAGCACCAGGACCCCAAAACTATAAACATCAGTCTTCTCAGTTGCTCTGCCACTTTGCATATACTCTGCCAATGATGTCAAGTAACTCAGAATGTATATAAACGTAAGATAAACTACATTTTTACTATTTCAGAAAGAATTTCCTGCAAATAGACACCAGAAGCTTTTCCACCCTTTCGGGTAACATAGACACATTTCATCTATTATAAGCAGCTGATTTGGAAACCCATACATTGCCAGACACCTCTAGTTTGAGGTGTTGTATGTGAAAATGAACACATTATAATCGTGCTTGTGGACTAGAAAAATATGTTTCTAAAGCTGGACACAAGGGAATGCTCACTCTATCCAACTCAGATATGAATCCGTAGTCTTTCATTCTTTGGAAGAAATCACCAGGTCATTTTTGTTGATTATGTGATTATTCCTTCGGATTCATTCTCAAAGAAATTCTGTATCATCTCAAACAAAGCAACACAAGGAATACATTGTGCACACTCTTTTGTATGTCATGAAAAGTCTTTTGTATTTTCTTATTTCAATAAGGAGCATACTTTCAGTAATAGAAAAAGAACAGTACAGTACACTAAAGGGACAAGTTCTCCACTGAACTAACTAGACCACTCATGTAAAGCTACAAACAGATCTAGACATCAAAAGATTGCATGACAGCAGTCACAATGACAACTAAAATATAGCAGCACCCCAATTATAAAAAACTAACCAGAACAAAACTATCTGTATAACTCTGAAGACACAGCCGAAAGGAAATCCCAAAACGAATTCTATCCCACAAATGATCCACCTCCTCATCCACTGCTCTCTCAAATATCCTTACGTTCCTATCCATCCATACCACCCAAAAAATTGTCATCGCAGAACATTTCTCACACACCATGACCATCTCTTCTCCACCAAACTTATATCCCTCCCACAATAAAACCTTACATGAAGCTGGAGTATCCCAACTCACTTGGCTTCCCTAATCAATCTTTTCTCCCCCTCTAGATAAATAGATTTTTTCTTTTAAATCCAGAAGAGGTTTCACTAAAAGCTCACTCAAATGGGATAAAAAGCAATTGAACACGTGTTAATTCTGATGGTGTGACACCTTCAGTTTGCAAATGACAAATTTCCAGTTTTTCGGGGATGAATGGAAATTTGGGAACTTAGTTTCAGAAACTGTTGCCCCCAAAAAAATTACAGTGACAGCGATTCTGCTGTTTGGTCAAGGTTGCAAGTGAATAGTCAAAAGTCTAGTAGTTGGTATTAAAAGAGAAAGTTGGAATCTCTTACGGGCATGATTGGGATGTTGTGGAAGGTCAGCCTATAAGTACTTCGGTTGTCTTTTAGAGGGAGAAACCCCAGAGCTTCCAGTTTACACGTCCCCATGGTTTGGGACAATCCAAAGAAGGTTGGATAGTTGGAACAGCGGCTTTTTATCTCAGAGCAGGAGGCTTAACTTGGTTCAACCAGATCTGCAAGTCTACCAATTTACTACCTCTCTATGTTTTGGTTACCTTGCAAGGTGGCAAACAAAAACAAAAAGCTTATGCATGATTTTTTAAGGAAAGGGTATGGATGAAGGAAAGATAGATCACTTAGTGAATTAGAATGTTGCATCTCATTCTCAGGGCCAACAGTGGCTTAGGAGTGCTAAACTTGCTCAACAGAAAGATTGGCTTTTTCAGATAAGTAATTGTGGAGATATATTCTAAAGTCACATTCTCTTAGGCATTCAGGCATCCGGAGTAAACATGGTTTGCGTTTCAATGGGTGGGGCTCTAAGTGGTGGTTAAGAGGCTCCATTTACTGTCCACGGAGGGGCATTTATCACAGATTTTTTGTCTTAGAGTCTATCCTTTGCTCCATATTGGGAAATGGGGAGAGGATTCATTTTTGGGAAGATTTTTGGATAGGGGAGTCTAACCTTTGCTCTTATTCTTTCTTTTTTTGTTTTTTTTGTTTCTAAAGAAAACAAACTTCATCGAGGAAAAGAAAGAGTACGAAACAGAGGACAAGGTTTCCTCAGACCCAACGAACCTAACAAATACTAAAATTTAAAACAGGCACCAAAAGACTTGCAACAAAATGCAGACTACCATGACAATACTCTAAGGCCACAATTTT